CCATGATGCAAGCCAGCTTTACACCCTGGCAAGACTGCATTTGACTTCTGACATTTCCCACTTATAGTTGGTACATTTGTTGAATGTATTATAGTATTATTGTTTTTTTGTTTGTTTGTTTTTTTTAATCTAACAAATTTTTCAGAGCTTAATACATCAGCTAAAGTATCCATGTAAGATTTTACAGGGAAAATATTGGAAGTTACAGAGCTTTGACGAATTATAAAGCACAGGAGGCGGCAGCATTATTTTTTCAGGGATAAAAACATTTAAGCTTACTTCAAAAAAAAAAAAACAAACACCAACCAAATCAATAATACACCCAAGTAAGAAACAAAACACTTGGGAAGGACATTCTTAATGAGTCAACAGGGTCAAGTTGATCATCAAAGCTCTCCTTTTCACATATTTTTACAAACACAGCCTTGTAGATTAAGGGTGTGACTACAGGCTTTCTATCCCGAAGTCAAATTTACTCTTGTCAAACCATCTACAGAGATGCTAAACACAAGCACAGCGCTGCACTAACAAAGCAAAGACTTGAACACTTCAGAGCATGCTGTTGATCAGAGTCCAGCAGCTTCACCGCACAGGACGCAAATACACGCCTGCAGACATCCAGTCATCCAAGACTACACCACCTGTACTTAAAGAGTTCATTTCATTCATTTTCCATTACATCAGGAAAACGGCAAGTATTTTCACCATATTAAAAATATAAATCAATCTAAAGAGACCAAACAATCATTAACCAAGACAGAAATCACAGAAAGGAGGAAATACTTAGAGAAAAGGTCAGTGGTAAAGGCAAATTATTTTAAACTGCAAACATTAAAAAAAAACAAAAACAAAAAAAGTATATTTCTCTAATGCAAAACTATTCATAGCAACTGTTAATGGTGGAGGGCACTGTGGGAAACCTACAATGAAGTGGATAAGATCCAACAGCTCTAAACTTCATATTACTGAGAGGAGTCAATTATGACTGCAGCCACATTTATACAGGCCATTGTTCCAATTTTTGAAATTTTAAATGTTTCCACTGAACTTGACAGGCTACACCACAACTTCACTCATTGATATAGTACGGCTCTTGTTACCATTGCAGGCTTCGATTTTATTAACAGCCTTTTATAAGCTTTATTGCTGCAGAAGACTGGGAATTAAGTATCTTTCTCAAAAGTGACAATGAAAAGAGCCCAATTGAAGGAAATCAGTCAG